TTATATTTGCATAGACATCATTAGAGTACACATGATCATCTAACTCTCTTTCCTCTTTAACTGCATGATTCTTACTTGAAACAAGGAAATCACTTGCCTGGAATTGCGCATGAGAAAGCATAAGAAAAGCATCTAAAACTATATTTTGGATTGAAGCTTCATATATGCACATACTCAAGAAATAAAGAACACTAAAATTATTTGGCACAAATTTATTTAGCCACAACTTTCGCACTATATTTATACTCCATCTAAGTACTGGACATGTTAATAAGAAAGAAATAGAGATCATTTGATGGCTTGGGGCTTATCAGCCATTGTTTGAAAGCATTGGTTCGTAAAAAATTCTTACTGTCAAACACCGTAATGCTTTCAAACACCTCATTTTATACTTTCTCTCATATATAAATTTGATATTAAGATTCACCTAGTAGTGACACACTACTATAAAAAATAAAAATAAATAAATAAATAAAAACAGTTAACCCTTAAAGTCAAAATTAAAAATATAAGAGTCATCTAACAAATTATTTAAATCTTAATTTCTTCAATTAACAATAATTCCTTATAGTAACAAAAACAGTTGTAATAATTAATTTAAACAAGACACAATTATCATCAACTTCCAAGAACCATTCAAATTAAACTGCAAAATCTCAACAGGTTGACTCTGAACTTCATATTTATCACCATTAATACCCATGAATCAACACTAATGACCAAAGCCTTCTTTCCAATATGAAGAATTTCATAAACATTAGTGAAACTCAGTAGAGTATTCTAGGATACTTGACAGCAATCAACCCAGCTCCTAAACCCTCCAAAGCAGGTCACAACCGCAAGGACCCCAAAATTTTCCTTGATAAACTCAAATGCCTCACTGAACCCAAATTTTTCCCTCAACAAAAACAAAGAGAACTGTAAAATTTGCTAGACAATCTACCATTGCAACGCCAAATTTATTGCAATTTGAAAAAATTAAACCAAAAACAAGCTAAACAAGAAATTAAATTAAATAAATAATATAAACCCTAGAGCAGGAGTGAGAAATGGGGAAATACAGGAAGGGAGAGAAAGAGACAGAGAGAGAGTGAGCAAGAGAGAGAGAGAGAGAGAGAGAGAAAACGAGCGAGAGAGAAACTGTTTGTATTGCAGCGGTGGCGATGTGATTTGCGGCGGCGTGGTGGCGATATGCGTCTTACGGTGAGCAACGGTGGTGAACGATTGTAGTGAGGTGAGGTTTGGTGGTGACTGGTTCTGTATGTGTGTGTGTGTGTGAGAGAGAGAGAGAGAGAGAGAAGAAAAGAGAAGAACCCTGTTTTCAAAAATACTGAGAAGAACTGGCGCCAATCTTTTAATGTTTCCCACTAAAATTTTATATACCTTTGGCAACCAAACTTGTTGTTTGTCGCCAAAGGTTAATTTATACCAACTAATTTATTTAGTAGCCAATATTTAACAAACATCGACTAATATTTTAGTCGCCAAAAGTAACCATTTTGGCGACTAAAGGTATTTTGGTCACCAAAAAGAAATATTCACCTACCAAATTTTTCATCACCAAAGATAAAAGTAAAATTTATGTTTTTTATTTAGTGATTAAATAATTTTAGAGGGCAAAAATTACCTTACAGCGACCAAAAATTTTTTAGTCACCGAAAATAAATATTTGCCGACTAAAACTTTGGTCGCCAAAGTTTAATGGCAAACATTATGCTATCTTTTTGGCGACTAAATTTATTTTAGTAGCCAAAAACTGGTATACCATGACTAACAAAAATTTTAGTAGCCTAAAACATGATCTAATGCCAACTAAAATAATTTTTAGTCGCCTATTGTTCATATTTAGCGACTATTTTTTTTAGTCACCAATAATGAAGACACAGCTACTAAAAAAAATTAATAACTAAAAATCATATTCAACGGCGACCAATATAATTTTTAGTCGCCTATTCTACAACTTTTGGCAACTAAAAAAAGTTTAGTCGTCAAATTTGTTCGCCAAAAGTGAAAATTGTCGTAGTGAGGGTTGAATTTCCTATCCTATTGCCTCAAATAGAGTCCAAGTAACCAAATCTTTAACTCTCTTCAAGCTAATTCCTCCACTTCCCTTATTTGATCTCAATTCCCTTTTCTTTTCTCTCTCCTCACAGTTTGAGCTCACAAAAGATGAAGAAGATGTAGTGTAGTGTGTGTTTTAGAATCAATGGCTTTATTAGGCCCCATTAGGAAATTCTAATTAAGCTTTAATTAGCCTTAGCAATGGCCATTAATTTATTCTAATTATTTCGTTCTGAATCGAATTTCAATCAAACCTACCATAAAATTCTAAAAATTTCAAATAACATATAAACCAAGTCAATTTCGTGTTCAGATGCCGATAAGGCCTTTAATTCACATATCGAAATAGAGATTCGGACAGATCTTTCTATAACAAATAGATATAAACACAAATAATACAATACACATAATTAATTCAGAAATTCTTCTTAATTACTTATTAGGCATTCTTAATCATAGATTATAGGCTAATCACAGGTCGGGGTTGTTACACTTAAGTAGTTAAATCTTGATTTATAGGTGGGAGATATAGTTGTTCTAAAAAAGTATCATTAGGCCAACAGAAACAGTTGCAATTGGAGTACTTAAAAACATAGACCCATTTGAAGAAGTAGAAAGGGAAGAATTAGGACCTGACTATTGGGAGAAACATGTTCAAGTGCCAGTTAAACATAATGAGAGCTTGATCCGATCATATGGACTTATCAAAACAATTGGACAAGCTATTGGAACTCATGTTTTTTGGCCTGCTCCATTTGTGGTATATTTCTTTCGTAAATACCACTTTTATTAACAAATTTATATTAACTTAATATAGTTTCAATTACCCTAATATGTTTATCTTTTGAATGCAGATTTCGCAAGTTATGGATGCTAGCCGAGAATATTTATACAAGTGAGGTTGAGAATTTTGGAACTGATTTTGTTTTGATAATTTGTCTCTCCGAAAGATGAATATCACTATGGCTTTTCAAAACTTATGGTTAGAATAATTTTCTTTTAATTTTTTTTTGCTTTAACTTTGTTGGTGTGGCAGCATATTTTATAATTTTGATTATGATTTGTATTGCAATATTAATAAATTTATATTTTTTAGATAAAAAATGATTATGGTTTGAATTTTTTTGTTTTTAATGTGATGATCCTATGGTGGTAATATTTGTTTATTATTATGAAAATATTACATGATGAATGGATGTCAAATTAATATAGGATATGGCAATTAATTCAATTTTTTATAAAATCGATTCAATTTTTACAGGCATTTACGCATGTTTAGTTGTGGCTTTTAAAAGTGTCAATGAAAAGAACATATAAGTGGCATTTCATAATAGTGGTAGTAGCTTTGCAGAGTGTCACTAGAATAAGCTCTAATGACACTTATATCCATTTAATGGCATAAATGAATTGGATTTAGTGGCATTTATGAAATTGTTAAAAATATCAATTGTGGTATAACAACCGCCATTAAAAATCATATAGTGGCATTTTTTAGATTGTAAGTCTTCTTTAATGGCACTTGATAGCATCACGAATAGTGTCTACCATGACATTAAAGTGTCTTTGAAAGTCTTTAGCCTTAATGGTGTAATGGCACTTACAAGTGTCACTGAAGTGCCACTAAATCTTTTTTTAATAGCGCTTGATAGTGTCACAAATAATGTCTATCATGACATCAAGTGCCATTGAAAGTCTTTAGCCATGATGGTGTAGTGACACTTGTAAGTGTCATTGAGGTGCCACTAGTATCTACTGTGACACGAGAGTATAAATGACACTTGTTTAAAATGTCACAATACTAAAAAATCATTAAAAGAATAGTTTTGTGGCACTTTCAAATGTCACTAAACTAAGAAAACATTGTAAACGTTCCAACGGAAAATTTTCATTTTTCATCAAACCACCAATCGACTGGGAGGATGATCAGGCGGATGTCTGGCCAGTCGACCAATTTTTTGTGAATTAACCAAAACATGAAGAACAATTTTGAAAGGAAGAGGTTGTAAGGGAGGACAATCGGCCAGACAACTAGTCGGTCATCCAATGTGCCTACAACACTGAAGGCATTCTTAATTTGATGAAAATCTAAAGGCATCCTAAATTTGATAAAAAGTTGAAGATATTCTCAATTTGATATGGGTTTGGTGTCATAGTTAGAGCAGTAAACTTAGACTTATTATTTGATGAAAAAAAAATAAAAATTGAAGATGGTCTTAATATTCTTGGTTTCTATATGTATTTTGAGTTTATCTAAACCATTCCCTTTAAAATAAGAGAGTATGACCAAGTCATGCACATCTAGGAAATCCCATAGATTGAACAAACCAGACAAAGAACCTCCCGCCCTTCCACTGCAAACTAAGCTCAACACAAAGTTTACAATTTATCATAAACAAACTCCATTAGTTAGTACTTACAGGGTTAGATAAACCAATTTTTTATTTTTTATTTTTTTATATAAGATGATATAATTTTTCTTATTTCTTTTATTTAATAATATAGGAACAATCATCATGTTCATAATTTAAAAGTATGTCACTTTAATTTAAAAATTATTTTTGTATAAAAATTCTAACATGGTGTAATTTCAAGTTATTAGTAATAATCATAAAGTAGAGTAAATATTAGATATAATAGTGATATCACGTGGCGATATCACCATCCAACGAGCAATTTGATTTTGCAGTAGAGATTCATAACATTATTAAGTTAATAGAATAAAAGGTTTATCCACCTAATTTATTTACAACTTTTAATTAACTTGTGACACATGTGCTACCACTATGCTATTTGTTTTTTTGCTAAATAGTATGACCATGTCAAGTGGCCCTAGGACGGCAAATATGATAAATTATACCATTCTCACATATATATATATATATATATATAAATACCTATTATATGTACTAGGCTGCATATACATTTTTCTTCCACACCACTTCTACAACTCAATTACTCTTTTAATAACTTCTTTCTAATAAGAATTATTGTTCTTTTCCTTTTTATCTTCTCAAATGGTCTACACAATTCTACTGTTAGGACTCCTTTCTTTATTCTTCTATGTTGCCTTGGCTTCTGATAATAGTCCTCTTCAAGTTTTTTGTGTTGCTGACCCAACCAGTCAAGGTACAACACCACTTTTGCACGTCTGTGTTTGTGTACAAACTCTAATTGCATGATTGAATTTGTTACTAATAATGATTGTGTGACTTTGTTGATCATGACAGTGCTAGTGAATGGTCTTGCATGTAGGAACCCTAGCATGGTTCAAGCCAATGATTTCTTCTTTAGTGGACTTCACATGGCCGGCAACACATCGAATGCAGTTGGCTCTAAGGTGACCCCGGTTAGTGTAGCTCAGATACCAGGGCTTAACACTCTTGGCGTATCAATGGTTCGTATTGACTATGCACCAATGGGTATCAACCCTCCCCACACCCACCCTCGCGCTACTGAGATCTTGATAATCCTAGAAGGCAGCCTTGAAGTTGGATTTGTCACGTCAAACCCTAATAACCGTCTTATCTCAAAGGTGCTTCAGAAGGGTGATGTGTTTGTTTTTCCAATCAACCTCATCCACTTCCAACGTAACGTAGGAAATGGCAATGTTGTTGCCATTGCAGCTCTTAGCAGTCAAAATCCCGGTGTCAATGCAATCGCGAATGTGGTGTTTGGTGCCAAGCCTGATATATCTACCGATGTTCTTGCAAAGGCTTTCCAACTAGACAAGAACATTGTTGCCAACATTCAGTCAAAATTCTAAAAGGGAAACAAAACTCCACACAATTATTTGTAGTAGCTTTTCATTTACATCTGGATGTTCATTGTCTTTGAAATAATAAATGTTCTCTAGTTTAGAGAATTAAAGAGCGATGATTGTAGCGGTTGTGCTTCATTGTTTTGATTGTTTAGTAGTATGTTCTTTAATATTCAAATGGATTTCCCATTGACTTTGACTTGAGTTCACTTCTATTTATTCTGTCACTTTTTGTCCATTGGAATGAAAACAAATTCTCCTACATTTAATTAATTTTTCTTTGATTACTTTCCATTACAATCAAGAACAAAATTCATTTTACTCCTGTGATTGAGGATGTAATAGTTTACCCTCTTTAATTCAAAACTAGTCAGAGAGCTTTCTATGATTTTGAATTATGTTGCAACCGTTACTTCTTTTATTCAAATTAATTGAAGGTACACATCAATTTTGAGAGTGGGCCTTATTTTTTATTTTTTTTTCTTCTTTATTTAGATAAAGTGAAATTAAAATAGAGAAAGACATTTATAAACTCATCTTCATATTCTATATCCAAACACTAGCAACCCTAACCCTAACCAGCTACATCCTCTCTCCTTCGCAACACCTCCAATCTCCCCATCTCCCCTCCGTAGGTCCCATCACCGCCGCCTCTATCCTCCCTAACCACGTCTGCAACCCCTTTCTCGTTTGCGACCACCACAATACCCTTTCCCATTTGCGATCACCACCATCACGATTCCTTCCCTATATAACCGCCACTGTGACCACCTCTCCCATTTCGACCATTGCTGCAATCCCCTTCCCCTTTGTGACAACAATTGTAACCCCTCTCATCTTTGCGACCACCACCACGATCCCTTCTCACCTCTCATGCCTATGGCTCCCTCTTTCCCCTCTATTATATTGTATGTATAAGAGTATTATGTATATATCCTATATGTGTATATGAATATGATTTAAAATATAATTAAACTAAAATTAAGTTAAACGGTTAGGCATTCAAATAAATAATTAGAAATTTGGGATTAATTTGAGATTTTATTGAATTAATGTTGGTTAAGTTAGAAATTATGTATATAATAGAAAAGAGAGAAATTAAATAAGACAAATAAAAAGGCAGAGAGCCAAATGGATGTTAAAGTTATTACAAGTCAATTGTTAACAGAGTTAACAATTGCGATTTAGTCCAAAACTATAGCGGGCTCTGTGGGTATTTCCATTGGACTGGGATCTTTTGGTAGGCCATATAGCATCAGATTTAGTTGCATATGCAAAAATTGTGACATGTGGTTGATTGTGTTTGTGTTGTGATATACACATCAGATTCAACAAATGTGGCCGCAGATCAAACGACGAAATTGTAAAGTGTAGAGTACGTAAAATCTGAGCGTCTAGATCTTGTAACTATACTTGATCTTTGATAAACAGTGGAAGTGTTGTGTATCCTTTTTTTTCATTTATTTATTTTTCAAATTTGGGGTTTCCACATTATTTATTTATTTATTTATTTTGTTTGATCAGCTGGGGTTTCCACATTAAACCACAATCTCAGTATACAAGCCTTTTGTTATTGTAGGATTTTAAAATATAAAAAAATAAATAAATAAAAGATAAATTAGAAACACACCTCTTGAGATTTACTTAAATTACAAATTACCCCATATAGTTCTAGAAATTACATTATGCCCCTTAAGGTTTCTAATTTCATAACAAATAGATCATTTTATTAATAAATTATCAAGTTAATTAACAGTTTTTAATAATGTTAAAATTTTATTTTAATTAATAATTCAGATAATTTTATTATTATATAGGTGAACAGTTAGAATTTTCACATTTTCAATTAATTCTGTTAAATAAAAAATTCTAATAGAGAGGTATTTTTAATTTTCGAAACCACATAAGACAATTCATATTTTAAGTAAAACTCAGGGGGTGTATTTGTAATTTATCCTAAAAAAAATTACTATGTCTTACCATGTCAAATAAGCTATTTTCATAGTGTGAACTCGTATGATGTCCAAATCACAATGAAGCAATTTTACATGCGTCACTGAAAGATTAACTTAACAATAACAACGAATCGAAGTTCCCGTGAGGGTGTTAAATCACCCAGAAGAATACAATCTGGAAGAGGAAAAATTGATAGAAATCCAAGTGCTTTGAACCTATGCAGTGTCCATATATATATAGCATATGGTTGCTGTCAACTAATGGTTGTAACTTATGGAATTCAAACTCAATGATCACCATGTTCCTAAACCATTGTGACTCTTCATTCAAATCTTCAACTTCCTACTTCTAGTAACTTCTTCATGCGGGAAGATTGAATCACCATATAAGGATTGGATTTGGTGTGAAAGGGTCCACCGTATTATGGTGTGATCAACTCTCAAACCTTCATCTCCCACTTGATCACATTATAATATTAGTGATAAAACCTGAGTTAGGCATGTTTACCTTGGTACCAAAATTTTGCCTCATGCCAACTTTCATCTATGAAATTACCTCATAGATCGACGTCTGATTGTGACTTTGCCATACGTGTGCACGTTTTTGCCACCAATTTGACCGCACCCGTACGAATGTGTTCTCCCACTGACAACACATTCCAGATGACTTTAATTCACTATATAACAAGTGAACGGCATCAATTTTCAGTGATGGGTTCATAGTCCATACCCAATCACCATTGACGACTTCAGCCGTACACATTTTTCATCGTCTGATTGTGACTTGGCCATACGTGTGCACGTTTTTGCCACCAATTTGACCGCACCCGTACGAATGTGTTCTACCACTGACAACACATTCCAGATGACTTTAATTCACTATATAACAAGTGAATGGCATCAATTTTCAGTGATGGGTTCATAGTCCATACCCAATCACCATTGACGACTTAAGCCGTACACATTTTTCATGTGTCGACCTGCACTGAAATTATTGTTAAGTACTTCCTTTAAGACCCATTCCTGAAGGTTTTCCTTAACACATCTTATCAATGACTTTTTACTAATCAAGCAGACAATATCATCTAGTTTGCACGTTGCATATTATGGACTTTACATCTCATGCTAACTATGATATCCGTACCTTGTCAGTTCCTTTAACTTGTTACCTGACCAAACACATGTTTCCATGCAAGATAGAGTCGCAAAACATCGGTTATCTAGGCGTCCCTAAAGTCATCTGACTATGCTCTTATATAAGTAACTAAACCACCTAGCTAGGTATTTTTCAATTCCATATTAGCTACATGTTCTCTGAATTTTTCCAAAGACAACCCTTTGGTCATAGGGTCAGCCACCATCTCTTCTGAGGGTATATAGTTGACTTTAATTTCACCTCTCTCCACTATGTCCTGAATATAGTGGTAACTAACATCAATATGTTTTCACTTAGAGCTATTTGCTCCACTTTTTATTAATGAAATGGCAGACTGATTGTCACAAAACATACTGACCGGTCTGACAAGTATACCTAATTGTAAACTGTCAACAAATCGTTTTATCCAGACCGCATTACTAACGGTTGTACTGCAAGCTATGTATTCAGCTTCCATAGTATACTTTGCAACACAACTCTGTTTCTTACTTAACCAAGAAACTGTTGTTCCACCAAACAAGAACACATGACCACTAGTAGATTTTCTATCATCTACATCTCTTGCAAAATCTGCGTCAGTGTATCCTTTTATGTCTAAATCACACAAACCAAAACATAATTTCAAATTTTTAGTGCCTTTTAAATATCTGAATATTCTTTTAACTGCTTGCCAATGTTCCTTAACTGGATTGGCTTGAAACCGACTTACCCATCCGACTGTATGACAGATGTCAGGTCTTGTGCTTGTCATAGCATACATTAGGCTGCCTACTGCCTGGGCATACGGGACATTTATCATTTTCTCAATGTCAAACTTAGTTTGAGAACTCATACTTTTATTAAGACTTTGTCCCTTGCAAACAGGCATACTTAAAGAATTACAGTTATCCATATTAAATCTTTTGAGCACCTTATCTAGATATTTCTCTTGATCTAGATATAATAATTTTGAATTTCTATCTCTTGAAATTCTAATTCCTAGAACATAGGTTACAAGACCCATGTCTTTTATTTCAAATCTAGATGCTAGGAAAGTTTTGGTTTTTATAATCATATCTGGACAATTTCCTATTAACAATATGTCATCTGTAAGAACCTAAATTTTTAGACAACTAATTAGTTTATTAATAATAATATTAAGCCAATCAATAGTGATTGTTAAACCATTAAATTATAATATTAATAGGACCATAATTAATATCAATATTAAATACTTTAAAATAAAATTATTTATCTTGATGTGATTAAAATTCTGTATCAAAATACAGTTGTGAAAACTAAATGGATTAAATTGATAGTAAATAAGCTAGTTAGAATTTAGTAGGAAGAAAACCATCCAGTTGAAAATAATAATATTAAATAAGTAAACAAATAAATAAATTATATATACATATTAATATTGTATTAACACCAATTTCAATTCAATTCAATTCAAAAAAAAAAAAAAAAAGAAATAACAAAGTTGAAAGAAAAGGGGACCAAAATAGGCCAAAAGAGGCCTAAGGGGAAGAGTTCGACCCCCAATGCCAAAATGCCCTTAATGAAAGTTGTTAAGCACGAAAATACAAGACTTTTTCATGTTATACACAAAGCCTAAATCAGCATGCAAGATAGGTAGAAAACTAGTGCAAGATTGGGGAAACTAAAGCAAATGTCTCACCCTTGAAGAAACCTTGAAGAACAGATGATCCAGCCACTC